ATTTTTTGTGTTTTTTTATTTTTACTGAATTTTTTTAATATTTTGAACAATTTTTTTAATTTTTAGACATACCTAACATAAATATACCTAAAAAGTAAAAAAAAAATTGAAAAAAATCTTTTAAAAATTCACTAAATACCAAAAATACGAGAATTTAGTACATTTTTTTAAATATTTTTATGTATTTATTAATTTTTAAAAATACTTTTTTACAAATTTTTTACCTTTTAGATACATTTAAGTAAGGTGCATCTAAAAAAGTAAAAAAAATGTTTAAAATTTTAAAAATATTCACTAAAAACAAAAAAATACGAAAACCAAAAAACTTAGTTTTCAAAAAACTTAATTCAAAAAACTCAAACAAAATACACTGATTAATTTTTTTTTTATAACAAGCAATAATGAGATATTAATAAATTTATACATACATTTATTTTATTTTATTTTTTGTCAATCGGTGAGACATAATCTTACAATTAACATGAGATTTACATCAACATGACTTTTAAATTCACAAACAACAACTAAATTTTATTAACCCAACCACAGTAACATAATAAACAATTGAATTTACAATTAGTAAATCCAACACTATCAGCTTAACAAAGAATCTCACAATGAAAAAAAAAACCAACTAAACAAACTCCATAATAAAAAATAAATTATTAATTGATTTAATTTTTACCTTGACATATCAATTAAGAGTGTACAAGAATGACAACAAAAAAAAAAAGAACAAAATATTTTTAAAAATTGAAAAGTACAAGAAATTTTACATGATTTAAAGATGAGTATTATTATAATTTTATTAAAAATAAACAATATATAACCTTTATAAATAGAGGTAATGGTATGTAGAGTGATGGATTTGGAAATACTCCTTTCATCCAAGCAGATCCCGGACTAGTCCTTTGAAATAATAACAGCTTTGATAGGAGGTGTCAGAATTAACACTCCGACAATCTAATTAATTTTCTCTTTTTTTTTTGTTTGGTATCTAGGTTACTCTTTTTCTTCAATGAGCTTTTTAGAACATACTTGAACATTGGGTCTTCCTCCTCCTTTTATAAACCTTTTCTTCTTAGATTTTATCCTCTACTATGCACCTCATCTGGATCTCAGCTCTTTATGGTGATGAATCGACAACTAGCCACGATGCCGACTTGAAATAGATTACTTGGGTGTCGTTTGATAACACTTACGTTTTTAGTTTTTTGTTTGTATTTACAAAAATTTAAAAAACTCAAATAAAAACTTGTTTGGTAAAATTATTTATTTATAAATCAGTGGTCTCAGTTTATAAATTTGGCCAAAAAATTAAAACACAAAAAATGTGTTTCCGTTTTGAATTTTCAGTTTTTTTTACCACCCAACACTAGCCACCATCCGTCACCATTTTCCACCATCAGTCACCATTTTCCATCACCGTCTTCCGCCACCACCACCCCACCCCATCACTCACCAGGCCACCTACATGACCAGCCCACACCACCGCCTGCCACACCACCAGCCACCCATCCACCCTAACACATCAGCTCCACCACCCACCCTGCCATCTACTCGGCCATCCACGCACCCACCAAATCCATCCACCGCCGCGCACCACTTCACCTGCCACCCCTTGCCAACCACTACTCGCCACCCACCTGCCACGCACATGCACACCCCTGCCACCACCAGCCTACCCACGACCACCACCACCCACCTCCCTCTACCCGCGACGCCACACCAACCCCAGCCATCACCACCCACTCGCTACACCTACCACCGCCACCCGTCCCTCACCTTACCCACCACTTCCCCACCCCGCGACCCACCCGCCCACCCGCTACCTCACCACCCACACTCGCCACAATCACCACCACCACCCAACCCGTCACCACCCGCCTTCCGCCACTGACACCAAGCTAACCACGCATCAACACACACTTGCTGCACAGCACACCACCTGCCACGTTCACCAATCACTCCACCACTAGCACCTGCCACCGTACACCGATCAGTCCGCCACTCGCCACCATCCACCCGCCACCACCACCACCACCTAACCGCCACCGCCACCTGTCACCACACCCGCACCGCCACCATCACCGCCACCACCCGCCACCCGTCACCCACCCACCCAACCACCAGCCACCAACTCCGCCACACCAGCTACCCACCACCCACCGTCACCACTTTCTACCATCGTCTTCCGCCGCCACTTGCCACCACTTGTCATTTCTCACTCTTTTTTATATTTTTAAATTTTTTTAAACATTTTGTCAATTACCAAATGCGTTTGCAGTTTATGTTTTTCTAAAAATAAATAAAAAATAAACAAAAATTAGTTTATAAAATTTTTGTAAATATTTTTTATAAATATAAACTGAAAACGTAAACGTTACCAAACACACCCTTGACTTCTACATTTTAGAATTAAGAGATATAACTCGACAAAATGTGTCCGATGAATAAGGCTCAATGGGCCGATTCGCGAGTTGAGCCCGATGGTATTGGGTTATATAAATTCGGTTCCCACATGCTATAATTATCAAAACTTTAGGTGACCCCGTAATGCTAAGATGGCTCCGTTCCTGTGTGTGCACATGCTTGATGTCCAACCAAATTTTGATTTATTAAGTTTCTTTTAATAATCAGCGTGGAAGTAAGAAAAATGACTTAGACCCTCAGCTGGGAGTGTTGGGGGTCGTCCTTGATTGGTGTGAAAATGATTTTTTTTTTTTTTTTAAATTTTGACCAATCACACGCTGCTACGTCACTGAGAGTGACACTGAGAGTCGCCTGTACTGGTTTCTGTAGCATTTCTCAGTAAGTAAAATATACGCAAGCAAAAGCAAATTGAATCATAAACATATTTTAATCCGATAAAATCGAACAATGTTTTACGAGCTCATGTGAATCCGAACTTTCTACATGGACGTTGAATTTGGTCCTAACCGGACCCAAATTCTTACACAAAGGAAAGAGAATGAGGGAAAAGCATTTCTATCATACAATAGTGACGCTCAAATTGAGATATCAATATAAGCATCTCTTTAAGGGAGATATTTAAATTGTTTACTAAAATGTACAAATAAGTAAAACAGACCTGATTTGTGTATCAAGTGTTTTTTAATTTGATGAATGCATGGATATTTCAACAGACAGGCAAATTAAGTTAAGATGTGTTAAAATGTGTGTTAAATTTGAAAAATAAAATATATAAACAAAAGTGAGACCCTCTCTCTCTTCTTCACTCATACTCCATTTCTCTCTCTTTCTCCTTAGGTGACTCGCTACAATTAGTAAGTGTTTTAAAATCTAACACTTAAGAACTCTATTCGACCTCCAAACTATATAATTCCATTATTAGTGATGTTGATACTCGACCTCCAAACTATATTATATAACACATGATGCTAGTCCACTTACATTTCAAAAAATAATTTCTTTTTTCCATAGTTTTAAGATATTAATTCGATTGGATAAAATTTGGTGCGATTTCTTTGCCTCTCTCTACATATATTTTGACAAAATATTAGAATGTCACTTTATTTGTTAAACTTCTCAATCTTGGATTACCTTAAATCATAAAATGTAAAAAGTACGGTGAATATTAAACTAAAAATTTAATTTGACAAAAAAAAACCATTTAAACGATTATTGAGAGGTATAAGAACTAATATTATTCTCACGATTGGTGTAAATTTGATGGTAAATATGACACAAACAAATTTGACATATTTTGACAAACAAATCTGATTCAGCTTGCTTAGTTGTGTTTTTTCAAAAACACTTTTCAGAAAATTCTATTTTCTTGTTTTTTGTGTTTTTTTATTTTTACTGAATTTTTTTAATATTTTAAGCAATTTTTTTTTTTACTTTTTAGACATACCTACATAAATATACTTAAAAAATAAAAAATTTGTGAAAAAAACCTTTTAAAAATTTATTAAATACCAAAAATACAAAAAAAAAAAGAAGATAATTTTTAGTATACTTTTTGTATTTTTATGTATTTATTAATTTTTTTTTTAAAAATTTCACAAATTTTTTACTTTTTAGATACATCTGAGTAAGGTGCATCTAAAAAAGTAAAAAAAAATATTTAAAATTTTAAAAATATTCACTAAAAACAAAAAAAATACGAAAACAAAAAAAACTGAGTTTTCAAAAAATTTAATTCAAAAAACTCAAACAAACACACTAAATAATTTCTTCATAATTTCAACACAAACAATGAAAACTTTCAATGCGGAGTAACTGGAAATATGAAAAAAAACTTGCTATGACTTTTCTGGAAAATTTCTTTGGTTGTTTCTAGGTAAAACAATCCGTGTGCGAAACAACTTTCTGGTTTGGCAATTATAATATGAAAAGAAAAAAGAGGCAAAAGCAGAGGACAAATTTCGAAGTTGTGAACCTCTTGTCGTGGGACAAGCCATTGCCCACCCACATGTGACAATCCTCAACCCTGCTCCTTGTCCAAACGACTCCAAGTGACTTTCAATTCTGTCGGAGTTTGAATTTGTTCGCTTAGTATGAACAAAACATACTATATTTTTTCATTTGTTGAATTAATGGGGCGGTTCCATAAAAAGTGTAAAATTGACCAATAAAAGAGTGGTGTGGGACTATCCTATTGATTTAGATTTAGAAGAGTATGTTTTGTTTACATTGTGAATAAATTCACACAGAAATTGCAAATGAAAATTTCAACAAATTTTTATTTTTAATTTTTTTTTATGGGTTGGATTGGATCCAACTCTTTTTCTTTTTTTTTTTCCCTTCTTTTTATTTATCAAGTTCTAATTTTTATCATATGGCAAAAAAGGTAAGAACTTAGGGTTAATAATCTTTAAAATGTAAAAAATAAAAAAACAGGATAATAAAAAAAACTTAATAAAATAATTAAAATTGTTTAAAAATTGGTATAAATAAAAGGGATCCAAATGAGCAAAAAAAACATTCTTAATGATATCCCAAGGTCTCGCAAAGTTTGGACTAAATATATTCTTGTAATGTACGATAAATTAAATAAATAAGCAACAGAAAAATTTGGGGAGAGATGATACCCAATTGATTTTCAGCTTTTGGTAAGATTCTAAGTAACAAATTAAATAATTGAAGAAAGAATATACAGTTGGAGTTTGGAGAAACTTGATCTCACATGAAAAGATTGAAATCTCAAATAAAATGTAAATAATAAGCATTATAAACCTCAATGCGATACAAATGTGTGTTTTGAAATATAATAATAAATTTATAAATAAAAAATAATTTACACCAACTGTAAAGTCCTGAAGTCTAGTGCCCATCGTCCAATTCCACCCTCGCCACCTATCACTGCCATCTACAGCCCGCTCCACCACCACCGCAAAACTGTCACCGCCACCGCTACTGTCAGTGTCAGTGTCGAAAGATTCCAAATTTGTCATTTCAATTTGTATCGAATCGGAATATTCCATTTCCTCTTCTATCGTCATAGAATTCGGATATTCCGAACTTGTCCCTCCTTCTTCCTCAGCTGCTCTGTCACAGATCAAATTCCTTACCGTCACCCAACCATCAGATTCCCAAATTGCCCCCGAATTCGATGCTAATTTTCCGATTCTCTCTCTGCACCGAGTCTGTAATTCCCAAGCCAAGCTCGATTCCTCTTCTTCTTCTTCTTCTTCAAATTCATCGTCTTTTTCTGAAAACTCTGAATTCACCCAATCGAGCACGCAACGTGGCGATGAATGAGTAATCGAATTTAACGGTGCTGATGATGATATAAATGGGTGGTTCAACAGCTGATCGCAGCTCCACCGCTCTGCTCTGTTTCTTCGCAAACACTTATCGACGAAATCCCGACCGAGTTCCGACAACTGAGTTGGAATCTCCGGCAACTCGTCCGAGTAACCGATTCGACACAGCGTGTGGCCGCCGCGATCCTCCCACGCCGGTTGTCCTCTGACCATCTCGATCACCGTGCACCCCAAAGACCACACGTCGGACTCCGGGCCTTGGTATTCCCGGCGAACCACCTCCGGCGCCATCCACAGCGGGCTTCCACGCGGCGGCGACAGGGAGGCGCCGCCGAACTCCGCCGCCGACCCGAAATCGGCTAGCTTCGCGACGCCAGGAATGGGTCCCGCCAACACGTTCTTGCCCTTGATATCGCAATGAACAATGCCCTTCGAGTGCACGTACTTCAGAGCAGCGACGATGCACCACGTGGACGATCTCAAAGTGTTCTCGTCCACGTCATTGCCGGAATGCCTTGCCAGCTCAGAGACGGTGCCACCTGGCAAGTACTCCAAGTGGAGGTTTCGAAACGACGTCGTGCCATTGTTCTCCAACGTGGTGTCATCGCCTAGGTACTCCACCATCCACGGTGAGGAAAGCGATCGGAGAATCCGAATTTCATTCTCTAAAGCCTCCAATTGAGTGTCGAAATCCGAACTCCGATCGACAGACTTCACCGCGAAAACCTGACCGTTTGATTTGTCGACCGCCATATTCACAGTACCATATGATCCTCGGCCTATGCAATTCCCTCGGACCCAGTTTGATTGTCTGTTCACTTTTGCCATCTCCGAAACTGAGAATTTTGAGGAACACTGTACTTTTAGTTTTGGGGTGGCCTTAGCTTAGGGGGTCCGAGTGGGTTCTATATATATTGTGCGATTGTGTGTGTGTTTGTGTGATTGTGAAATTGATTGGAAATTATACAGAAAAAGGGTTTGGTGACGTGGACGCGTAGAGAGTGTGGGTCTGTGCGGTGTTTTGAGTGGTGAATTAGTTGACGTAAAAGAGGATATGATACCAGGTTTATCCTTATCCGTGGTGGTGATGGGTAGATCTCCACCGTTGTTCTACTTTATGCTGCTTTTGTGTGTTTTTTATTTTTTTAACTAGTAGTGAGAATTGACTGCTTCATGAATTGGTTAGCATTGAAACATGTTGTCTAAACTAAAATTATTAGGCGTGTTAGGGAATTTTGGCCTATTGTTGGCCAATAAGATGTGATTATATATATGATTATGTGTTTGCTTAACTACTATGTGATTATGTTATGTATATATTTTTTGTTCAATACATGATCACATGTAATTTATTATTAAGTTGATACATAACCATATATAGTGTTTCAAAATATTAAACATTTAAATGTAATATTAAAGGAAAGGTTTCATGGTAGTTGCTTAAAAGTTAGTTTAATTATGAATAAAAATATATATATATATATATATATGTATAGTCAAAAAAAATCTTAACTCATTTAGTAAATCTATTTCTCATAAAAAAATTCATTTTATTTACTTTTAAAAGTGGTAAAAATAGTTTTTAAAAAAAATTAGAAATATATCAAAACAAACTAAATTTTTTTGAGCAAGTGTAGAAACAAGGAATTTGTTGTCTTGAAACTTGTCACCAAGTTTTTTATTTTTATTTTTATTTTTATTTTTTAAAGGTAGACCGTAGTTAGGCCGCACTAAGTAATGCTTTGGTGACGAAATTTGTTGTGTTTTTTCATGGTCTGTATTGCAGTTCAATTTTTTAGCATTAATCTTTATGTAAGTTTATCTTTAGTTAATTAGTTTATTTTTTAAACTCCAAAAGCAAGTCAAATACCAATTTGAGTGGTTACTTTAGTAAAAGTAATATATAACACATGCAGTTTCATTGATTAATAATAAATAATGCACAGAAAAGTAAATACCACTACTAAAATATTGTTGCACAAAAAATTATTTTTATTATACAAAATTTAAAATTAATTTATAATGTAACCGCATATATACTTTTAATTTAAAATTTTAAATAATTTAGTGTTGTTTTTATGAATGCATAGACAAAAAGCAGAGGTGGAGGTGGTGTGGTCCGAAAAAAGGCCAGAATTTAGTCCACTCGCCAATGGAGAGGGGAGACAACGTTCTGTTGTGTGAACTAAATATGGGACCCACTTTCATGCTGACATGGCAAAATATAATAGGCCCACGTAGCAACAACAGAGTGAGAGAGGACGGGAGTTGGAGTGATTATGGTGCGGCTTGCACAGCCGTCATTGTTATGCAATTCATGAGAATTATTTCAGACTTTATATTTATTATCTGAACAGTTTAATTTTTAAAGAATATCGATTAGAACATACCTGTATAAAATGAAGTTGATTATATCGATAAATTATTTATCAACTCACATTTATATTCAGTTTAATCTTTATTTATTTTTTTTTAATATATACAAATTCAAGTTGATGAATAATTTATCAATATTTAATTAACTTAATTTTTTACAAATATATTATACTCAATATTCTTTAAAAATTGGACAATTCAAAATAATGAAAATAAAATCTGAAATAATTTTCGTAAATTGCACAATAGTCACGATTGTGTAAATCACACAACGATGACTCCTAACACGGAAATAGGAAAGGCTGGCGAAGAGATGCGAAATGTTCGTCGCGCTGTGGCGCACATGATGCGATTGTCTGGACTCTCTGTAAAGATATTGCTGCGTTTGGAGTCTGTTGACGGTAAAATTTTCATGTCCTATATTAGTAATATTTATTTATTTTTAATTGTTTAATATTTAATATAAATTTGCAGGTTTTATTATTTTTACCAACTACAATATCGTTAAGACATCATGTAGTGGTGTTCTAAGACCAATCAATTATTTCTTTTGTTGACGTGTAGCGACCAGTCTCCATTCCATATTTTATTTACTTATTTTATTATTATTATACAAAATATATATTAGAGAAAATTAAAAAAAAAATATAGGGTTTAACTTTTATAAGAAAATAAATCTTAACTTTCAATTTTGTTAATGTCAATTCAAAAATTTTAATTTACTTTCAAAATTAAATTATTTATCTATTTTTAAATTTATCGAAAAAGAACATTTTAAACATTTTATATATACTTATATTAAGTTTAATGACTAAATATTTTTTTTCTCAGTTTTATTTGACGAAGATAAGTGAATAGCTTAAATTAAAAATAAATTAAAAAATTATGATTTAATTTGACAATATTAAAATTTATTTTATTACAAAAATCTAAATTTTTTATTTATTTTTATTCCCCTTTAAACTATTTTGTAGAAGTCACCACCATATCATATCATATCATATCCTATGCATATCTGTATATTTTGCCGATCAATAAATATACCCGTTGGTATCTTTTGAAAGATAAGGACATGGATTCTTAATTTCACTTTCAATAATAATACATTCTTCAAATTTTGAGCTCTAAATCAATTTTAGTAAGCTGAAAAATAAAAAATAAAACACTAAATCAAAATATCACATCATTTAAACATACATATACATTAAAATTCTTAAAACTCTTAATTTAAAACTCTCAACCATTTCCCTTTCACTTATGTCACCTTCTAGCTAGTAACTAGTACTCTCTGCCCTACTGAAAGAGTTGGGACAATGTAAATATGGTGGGCCATACTTTAGTTATGAAGTTAGGATAATTGGAAGTTGACATCATGCTTCTTGATTTCTTTTTTTTTTTCTTTTCTTTTCTTTTCTTTCTTTTTTTTTTTTGTATAATTTGCATACATAAAATAATAACAAGTTATTTCAATAAAAATTTTAATATAAAATAAATAAATATGATTTTTATTTTTATTTTTTGGGTTCAATATCTCATTGCTATGTATTTTTATTAAGTGACTAAGTGGGACTATGGAAAAGTATCATTTGTCATGGTGTAATTACTCGGTGATCTTGAACTATTGTATTAGTTTTGATTTCAAACTACTTATTACCTATTTTATATTATATTATATTATATATATATATATATATAAAATAATTAGATTCCCACCTTTCCATTTTTCGGAGAAAAGTGCATTAGTCATACTTGAGTATAATATCTTTTAAGTTGGCTCCACATACAATTAGGAGTAAGATAAAAAAATAAAAAGAAAAGAAGTTGGCTTCCCTCACGTCCGTGATTAAATTGAAGGGTGTTGTTGGGTCTGTAAGTACTTATCACGGGTTTCGTTTCGATAATCTAAATCGTTCAATATGTAGAGTTCGTCAAGCAGTATATGTTTCCAAAAATCACGCTGATCGGATATCGATAGTTACGTGATCAAATCAGTTTTGTACAAAAAAAAATAAATGGTGAAAAAATAAATGATTGACAGAAATTTAATCCGATGAGATAGCTATCAATATCTGATCAATGTGATTTTTTACAGGCATATAGTACTCGACAAATTCTACATATTAAAAGGTTTGGATTTTCAAAACAGAATCCGTGGTGAATCAATAGTACCCTCCAGTCCGTGAGGGAAGCCCAGCCCAAAAAAAAATTAGTTTATTGAATACATTAAGTCAACAATAAAAAAGTAATGCTATAAAAAAAAAAAAATAACCTTTTGATATGTTTTCTAATATTTTTTTTGAATTTTATAAGGCTGACTGTTTAGCATGTAATGAGTATACTAAAATGATTTAAAAGTTGTCTCATAAGACCATTTGCTATTAAAAAAAAAAAAAAAATCAAGCCATTTGGCATGTCATTTCATGCTAAAAATCTAATTTTAATCACTTAAAAAAATCATTAAAAATATACTAAATAAATTAACTTTTTTAAGTAACAACTTAATTTTAGTCAACTAATTAGCTTAAGGAGTATCAAAAGAAGCCTTAAATTAAAAATATATATATAATTTTTTTTTTTAATAATAGAATGAATTTTTAGGCAATAAGCTTATTGTTAAAAAGTTACCAAAGGGAGAACAAAGTTGACATAAACCACTAAATAATTCGGCCTAACGCATGTTGAGTCATGTATGAAATGCTTCGATATTTCATATTTTTGTTCCAATAAAGGGGAGATTCAAAATAAAATAAGCGGTTGAAAATGGATAAGTAAGAACAAAACCCCATCGGCATGAAGAGAAAAGGAAAAGGGAGTAATGGGTCTCCACATAAACTGCAATTGGCAATAAATATTTGTGGGGTGGGAGGGAAGAGAAAGAGAATTCTAAGTGGGATATGTGCAAGAAAAGACATGAGAGGAATGGGGTGTGTGTCTGTCCCCAACTTGTGAACCACTTGTTCCCAAACTGATGACTGTTCAGGGTTGGCTCAATGTATAGTTATATCAACAAATTACAAACAACCCATTTGATATGACCCAACTAGGTTGGTTCTTAGTTGCCATTAAAGAGTTATCCTATATCCACATATCCCAAACAAAGCCAAGATTTTATTATTATTATTATTATTATTATTATGTTTTTTTTTTTTCCCTGTCCAACAAAGTCAAGTAGCCTAATAGCATGAATAAGCATTTTTTTTTTATTGGTGAAAATTAGTTATTAATTGTTATATTAGTATTTATAGACCCTTTCCACTCTTGCAAATTTTATCAACCAATCAATAGGATTAAACAATTAGGTCTTGTTTGGCATACACTATTTTAATAATTTTTTTATTTTATTTGGATCACATCACTTTTCTATCATATTATATATCGTTTCATAAAAAGTTAAAAAGTATATTTATTTAGATTATCCAAAATAATAATTTAGTTTCAATTCTAAAAAATTAAGTATTGAATAAAATCATTTCTTTCTTTTTTTTAATAGTATCTTTTCTTTCTTTCATTTCTTTCTTAATTTTTAAAATCATTTCTTTATTTAGATTATCTTTCTTTTTTATTTTTTTTTTTTAAAAATTAAGTATTGAATAATTTTTATTTAGTTTCCTATAATTTCGGATTTATGTTATTTTGATTTCTGACATTTTAATTGTAATATATTTGATCATAAATTTTGAATCTCATTCCAAATAAAGACAATTGAAGACACAGTTTTCTTTGCAAATAGAAAATGATTCATTTCAAGGATA